ATAAAAAAAAAATAAAAATAAGTAAATTAGCTTAGGTAGAATTGTCATTTTTATTATATTAGCTTGGACTACCCAGAAGCAACTGATGTTTTTCCAATTATTTAGATCTGATTTTACTTCTGTGAAAAGTGTTTTGTAATTGTGTTCATAGAGTTCCTGGGTTTGTTTCAGTAGGTAGACTCTTAAATATTTTATAATGTCTACAGTAATTTTAATGGAATTTCTCTTTCTATCTCTTACTGTTGGGCTTTGTTGGTAGTATATAGAAATGCCAATGATTTATGTGGATTTATTTTATAGCCTGCAACTTTGCTAAAGTTCTTTATTATTTCAAGTAGTTTTTTACTTGATTCTCTAGGATTCCCTAAATATATCATCATGTCATTTGCAAAGAGCAATAGCTTTGTTTCTTCTTTGCCTATTCTAATACATTCAATTTCCTTTTCTTCTCTTATTGCTAAAGCTAACTTTTCCAGTACAATACTGAATAACAGTGGATGATAATGGACATCCTTGTTTCACCCTGAGCTTATTGGAAATGGTTCTAGCTTGTCCCCATTAAATACAATGCTTGCTGAAGGTTTTAGATAGATGTTATTTATTATTTTAAGGAAGGATCCATTCATATTGATGCTTTCTAGGGTTTTTAATGGCAATGGGTGTTGTATTTTGTCAAAAGCTTTTTCTGCATCTATTGAGATGATCATGTGGTTTCTGTTGGTTTTGTTGCTGATATGCTCAATTAAGCTTATAATTTTCCTAATATTGAACTAGCCTTGCATTCCTGATATAGATCTGACCTGGTCATAGTGTGTTATTCTTGTGATAAGCTGCTGTAATGAATTTGCTAATATTTTGTTTAAAATTTTTGCATCTATATTTGTTAGAGAAATTGGTCTGCAATTTTCTTTCTTTGTTTTGACTCTTCCTGGTTTAGGTATCAGAACCATATTTGTATCATAAAAAGAATTTGGTAAGACTCCTTCTTCACCTATTTTCCCAAATACTCTATATAGTATTGCAATTAATTGTTTTTCAAAGGTTTGATAGAATTCACATGTAAATGCATCTGGCCCTGGAGATTTTTTCCTAGGGAGTTCATCAATGGCTTGTTCAATTTCTTTTTCTGAGATGGGGTTATTTAAGTATTTTACTTCTTCTTCTGTTAATCTGAGTAATTTATATTTTTGTAAATATGTATCCATTTTGCTAAGATTGTCAAATCTGTTGGCATATAGTAGGGCAACATAATTCCTAATTATTGTTTTAATTTCTTCTTCATTGGTGGTAGCTTCACCCTTTTCATTCTTGATACAAATAATTTGGTTTTCTTCTTTCTTTTTTTTAAATTAAGTTAACCAAAGGTTTATCTATTTTATTGGTTTTTTCACAAAACCAGCTCTTAGTTTTATTTATTACTTCAATATTTTTCTTAATTTAAATTAATTTTTCCTTTGTTTTCAATATTTCTAATTTGGTGTTTGAGGATTTTAAATTTGTTCTTTTTATAATATTTTAGTTGTATGCCCAATTCATTGATCTTCTCTTTTTCTATTTTATTTATGTAAGCATTTAGAGATATAAAACTTCCCCTAAGAACTGTTTTCGCAGTAACCCATAAATTTTGATATGTTGTTTCATTATTGTCATTCTCTTGAATGAAATTATTGATTGTTTCTGTGATTTGTTGTTTGACCCAATCATTTTTTAGGATTAGATTATTTAGTTTCCAATTATTTTTTAGTCTATCTTTCCACAGCCCTTTATTACATATAATTATTATTGCATCATGACCTGAAAAGGATGCATTTAATATTTCTGCCTTTTTGCATTGGATTGTGAGGTTTTTATGCCCTACTACATGGCCCAATTTTTGTGTATGTGCCATGTACTGCTGAGAAAAGAGTATATTCCTTTCTATTCCCATTCAGTTTTCTCCAGAGGTCTATCATATCTAACTTTTCTAGTGTTCTATTCAACGTTCATCTGCCTGGAGCCCCTTGCAGTGCTGCCTCCTTTAGTTCTGCTGAGGCATTGGGAGATTTCTGTAGAATGCTGTGGCACCTTGTGGTTTTCTGAGCTGGTTTCCACCAGTTCCCCTTCCCTTATACCACATTTCTCTGAATCTTTTATGAATTATGATGAAGTAAAGTACCTTGAAGAACAGATACTAGGCTGGTTCTCCACAGGGTTGCTTTCCAGGAGGATGAGTGAGATCAGGTAGCTGGAAAAAAATTCCTATTCCCAAACATTTTTGTCTCAGGATCTTTGGCTGTTCCAAAACAATCTGAGAAAAGGTAGTGGTTAAAGTGGAGGTGGTGATCCGATTTGCATGATACATGCTACCTTCTGTATCTCTCACAAAATATCTTGCTACTTTAGTCGTACTGGCTTTCCTACCCCGTGAATGGAAGTTGATTGACACTTAATGGGAATGGCTTGACCCTTCTTCATAAGAGTTGTTTTGTTTTTGTTTTTTGTCTGTGAGGGCTAGACTGAAAGAATGATTAGATGTCTCCAGAATGTTTCCATTCTGAGAGGTCCTGTGCCTATCTGCCTATTGGTGGCAATTGGTCAACAGTCATTGCTTATGGAAGTGAGAAAGATAGACCTCTTCTCCCCAATAATTTTCCCCTTATCCCCAATGGTTTCTCCCCTCAATGACTGGGAGGGCTAGGTTGGAATCAGTTCTTGTGGTTTTGGGGTCTCTGTTATTCATAAGACTCTTGGACTCATTATTTTCTCTCTGAGCATATAGTGCTCATCCTTCCAGTTTTCGGATGCCCTGTGTTGCTGCATCTGCTTGTCCTCAAGGTTTTTATTGAGGTTCCTTCTTACTGAAATCTTTCATAGTCCCGCTTTTTTTCTTATATTATTTTCATTACATTTGCCTCCCCCCAAGCTGGAATTCAAAGCTGCTTCAGTCTCCTCCCACATTGGGAGATGGTGATTTCACTGGCTTTGGTCTCTGCTCTTAGTATATTCTGGGAAATATGACTATGCCCAGCTTGGTTTCAGTCATCTTTTCTTCATACCCATGTGATGGGATGCTTGGACCCCAGCCCTAGGACCATATCTCTCACCTGGCACATAGTTGGCACTTAATAAATGTTTATAAATTAACTGTTAACTAATTGATTTGATTAGCTGACTGACCAAAAAGCATATTTAATAAGTAGCCCTTTGTGTACATAGAGAATGGTGTTATCATCACTTCTTGAAGAACGAACTGAGGGCTTCTCCCAAGGAAGAAATTCTGAAATCATTAACAATTGGACCATGAGTGATGAAGTTGGCTTAATATCATTCAAAATAAATGTGAATTTTTTCTAAAAAGGGAAGTTGGCAATATTTCATAAAAAACACCCAAGTGTATAGATTTTCATTGATATTTCATCTTGTTCCATCATTTTTCTGTTATGTCGAACTTTTCATGACCCTATTTAGTGTTTTCATGGCAAAGATACTGGAGTGGTTTGACATTTACTTCTCCAGTTCATTTTACATGATCAGGGTATTGAGGCAAACAGACTTAAGCAACTTGCCTGGATTCACACAATTAGTAAGTGTCTGAGGTCAAATTTGAATTCATGAAGATGAGTCTTCCTGACTCCAGGCCTGGCACCCTATCCATTGGACCACCTAACAATATGTAAATGAATCAACAAATGACTTCTATAAATAAAAAATCTTCTAAAAATCTATAGCAATATAGACACATAAGAATTTCTAAAAAGAGATTGGAACCAGAAGGAAAAGTAGTACCTCTTTTGGGATACTATGAAAGAGAGAGAAAGAGAGAGAGAGAAAGAGAGAGAGAGAGAGAGAGAGAGAGAGAGAGAGAGAGAGAGAGAGAGAGATTTGCTTTTAGCATTCTTCTACTTACTAGAAAAGAAACTGATGAAGAGTAGAGAGCAAAAATATGATATGAATTTCATTAATTCAATTCTATCATTCATGGTCTAGATCAGTCATATTTAAGTACATTGTTGGTTATTAGAATTCCTGAAACCTGATGCTCAATTCCTTTTGAGGGTTGGAGGCAAAATCACATCTACTTTTTAAACTCTGGTTTTGATCTGACTTTGATGTTGGGGTGGGAAAGAGAAAAATTACACTGATTCTTTTAAAGAGGCAAGTCTATTTTGAAGCAAGGAGATCCTACCCCATTAGCACCAGACAGCTGTCTTCTCTTTCAAATTGTATCTCAGATTGATTCCTTTGTGTCAAGGCCCTTTGTTTGGATGGAAGCTAAAGGGTGGGGGAGGAACATGGTGTATGTGTAAAGGTATTAATTGGCAATAGTATTTCCAGTCATAGATACATTGAAACATTCCTAATGATACTCAACATACGTGTGTGTGTGTGTGTGTGTGTGTGTGTGTGTGTTATCACTTTTGTGGGATATAAAAAGTTTGAACAGATAATTTTTCAGCTGCTAGCTGATGGTTTTCTATGTCACCATGTAATTCCATTGCCAAACAACTGCAATTGCAAAGCATCACAAGCTTTGGTGGATCCTGGAACATGAGTACTGTCATCACTGAAATTCTGCCTCCTTTTTTGGTTCGGCAATGGAGTTAAATGACTTGCCCAGGGTCACACAGCTAGGAAGTGTTATGTGTCTGAGGTCAGATTTGAACTCAGTTCCTCCAGGGCCAGTGCTCTATCCACTGCGCCACCTAGCTGCCTCATGCCTCAGATACTATTGGCAGGATGAATTCTTTCCTATTTAATCCCCTGGATTCACTCTGATTTCTAACATGTGTATTGGGAAAGCTTGTTTATATTCCTTTTGTTGACATTGATGGTACGTGGAATCAAGTCAGAATACATGCAGATTCTAGACTGATGATGTCTAATCTCAATATTTTCACTGATAATGAAAAAACAAGAAGTCAAACTTTGAAGTGCTGGCCAACACAAACTGAGAATTAATGACTTTGAGCAGATCAGTTATTGTTCAACTAGTCATACCTTTTGCAGGGTGCTTCATAAACAGTTCCCTGTTGCTGTCTTGCCTCTTGACTTAGCAGCAAGAACACCAACGCGCCCATGGCTGTTCTTGGTGCTACCCTTGCCTTGCTAGTTTGGTTTGTTTTCCTACTCTTTGTCTCAGTATGGAAGAGGATTTATAGCAGTTGGAAACTTCCTCCAGGCCCATTTCCTCTTCCGATTGTTGGAAACATCTTCGACTTGGATATTAAAAATATTCCAAAATCTTATGACAAGGTATGGGAAGCTCTGTTTTCTTTTTTGTAAATTGAGAAATCAAGGCTAAAACATATGCTTCTTTTATTAATTAGCAGCCAAGCATGGCAGAGCTGTCAAAATGTGCAGTTGTCTTCTTCAAGAGGTAATAGATTTTCTCAGCACTGGAGTTCTTTAAGTAAAAGATAGATTGTTAATTATATCATGGAGGGGATTTATATTCATGTATGAGTTGGCCTAGATGATGTCTCAAGTACCTGATAACTCTTAGATTCCGTAAATGCTTGTCAATCACATACTGATTTTGCTGTATCTATTTGATCTTAAAACCATGGGGTCAGAGTAAAAAGCATTTAGCCAATTTAAGTGATGGGAGGAAAGAAAAGGGATTGTCTTACTAGTATTAAGCAGATAGTTGGAGTAATATTATTCATGGAGTAAACCCTTTTTGTTTAGTGGCAAGGTCATTATCAAAAAACTCAGAACCAAACTTTTGGTTGAACTGGTCAAATATTTTCAGGTGAAAATAACAAATTCTTCTGGGTTTTTACTGATATTTCCTCCTAGTATACAGACTATGGCTGAACCAAAAGTCAGAGTTATAATCATTCTGCAATATCACTTTGATTTGAGCATGAAATATTTTCAATGGACTCTTTTTTTTTGTTTGTTTTTTAGGCAATTGGGGTTAAGTGACTTGCCCAAGGTCACACAGCTAGTAAGTGTCAAGTGTTGGCTCTGAGGTCGGATTTGAACTCAGGTCCTCCTGACTTCAGGGCCAGTGCTGTATCCACTGTGCCACCTAGCTGCCCCTTCAATGGACTCTTTCCCTTGCATTGATCTATTGCTTGGCATTTTGTACATGGATGGCCAGGTATCTAAAGAGGAAAAGAACTTCAATCACCATTAATAATAGCTCACATCCATGTTCTGTTTTCTTCACAATAGGCCTTTGAAGTAGGAAATATAGACATTATTACCTTCACTTTACAGATGAAGAAATTGAGGGACAGAAGCATTGAATGGCATGACCATGTAAATGTAGCCAGTACATGTCTGAGGCAGTATTTGAAACCAGGTTTATTGATAC